CCATCCAGGGAAAGGCATGATTGGGGCTGCGTAATCTCGTTAATGAACTTAATCGAACATGTTGGAATAGTTATAAGTTATAAACATCACTTAGCGGAAAAGTTGAGTCGCCCTCTTTTGGATGTTATTTCAACAGCCTCTCTCTCCTTCACTCTATCAATCAAGCAAAAGTAGTTCTTATTCAACTTTCTACCACCGCTCCTCATATTCCCCGCATTTCCTACTTTATTTATTTCAATAGCCTCTCTTATCTTCCTCTTAATAGCAGACGTACCATAATCAACTCACTTTATCCTTCTCCAGTTTATACAAGTGCAACCATACAAGAGGCCACAACATCTTGGTCTTCATATCTTCCCCAGTTTGTTTCAAACATGGCGCAATGTTTCTCGACCTAACTCTAATTCCAAAGTTCCTAATTCATAGTAACCATGTTTGTAACAAGCTGGGAAAGGATAAGGAAAGCAATTTAACCAGTATATCTCTGGATAATAGTTTGCAGCTTTTATTGGAAAGATAGTTGAATTTTGCTCTTCCAAATGTGGCAAACCAATATCTGGACATACTTGTTGAATTAATTGGTTTATCTAATAGATTTTTTCTATGTAAGTATAGTTTCAAGACTACCAATAAATCAGTAAATTGATATGTATTCACCCTATTTCATTTAAGGTGATGAAGGAATGGTAGTAGAATTTTCCCACAAAGATATGAGTAGAGCTGACGTTTCCATTGAATTTCACATAGCCTTGCTTTCTCATCCAAGCTGAAGTGGACTGCAATTTTGACCTTGTATAGGCTTTATCAACAACTCCAGCGGGAGTCGAACTGTGATAGTGCGATGTTGGTAAGATCTATGCGAGGTCGAAACTGCAGTTCACTTCAGCCTGTATGAGAACAACTTTTGGGAAAGCAAGGCTATGTGAAATTCAAAGGGAACGTCAGCTCTACTCATATGATTGTGGGAAAATTCTACTACCAGTCTTTCATGACCTTAAACGAAATAGGGTGAATACATATCAATTTACTGATTTATTTGTAGTCTCGAAACTGCACATGCATACAAAACTCTACTTATATGAAAAACTTACGAATCCCTTCCACTCGCCTCTTCATACGATAGTAAATGTACTCCAACATCAATGCAGTATGTTGCCGTTCATTCTGTACGTGTTCTTTTCTATAATCGGAAGGTTGCCATGTCGCACAAGGTGGAAGGGATGCGGGCTGGGCGAACCAAAACAGCTCTGATGGGATTGGCAGACTCGCTGGCGAGAGGTCGCCCATGGCCCAATGACAATCAGTGGGAAAGGGTCAAAGGGTTGACTATCCACAGCTTTGAAGGCCAGCGAGCTTCTCCTGTCTGGGCAGCCTTAATAAATTTATATATGTACATATGCTGCACACAATCGCACATACATTTTGTAGGCATGGGCACCATAATGCACTCAAATAATGCATAGAATGGCATGAGTGCACGAGTAAAACGGACGGGTAAACAGAAGCTCTACACGTTGCATCGAAGCCAGCCAATCGCTGAATCATCCAAATATGGTCTTAGTTACTCCTCGACAGGCCTCCTCCCTCCGGATCCTAGTATTCTCGTACCGTCTCTCCAAACGACAAGACGCTTTAGAATGTGTTGAGTTGATATTGTTGGCAGGACGCGTCCTGTGCATCACTGTGTGTGTGTGTTTATATATTTACTCTGGGACATGCTTAATGTATGCATGTTTAATTACACAGAAACACACACACACACACATATATATATATATATATGATTGTGTGGGGTGTATGAATATTTGTGCATGAATGGGTGCATTTTGGTGTGTTTGCTTTTTAGTACTTCTGCTTTGGGCCTGGGCATCCCCTTTGTCTATTGTCTCTCTTCGCAAGCACACCTCTTGGCAACCTGGTGTGCTGGTTTGAATTGATTCATTCTGTCGATTTGGGTCTCTTGGCTTCATAGTTCTCATCAGCGCCTAGACAGAAGTAACATCGCAACGACTAGGTCTTGCTTTTTGGCCAGCATCGCATTGCCTCTCAGGTGTCTCAAGCCTGCTGGGATCAAAAGTGGATTAGTAGCTTACGTTCCCATGACATCCATGCCCTGTTGAGTGTGTGAGTGCGCCATCATGTGCGACTGACCGACTGGCGCCCTGCGACGCGCAGGCGTCAAGGCCTGGAGCTCCGCTCTCCCTCGGACAACCGAGTCGACTGTCCCATCATCTGCTAAGTCGGGCTTCGGGTCGCCTCAAAGGCAAATCGCAAATCGCAAATCGCAAATCACAAATCACAAATCACAAATCACAAATCGTAAATCCCGATCGGATCCCCAATCGCCGCCAAGTCAGCAGGCATGAGACCAATTCGCGCCACCTGGTTGGCCCTGGTCAGCGTCGGCCTCCTCCTCGTCATCGTCAGTATTGCTCTGGGCGTCTGGTCTCTGAGCATGGTCAACTGGACGCAGTCGACCGTGACCGCTGACGTTCCCGTCACGGACCCCGGCGATATCAACTTATTCTCGCGCTACCGGGGCCTCTGGCAGCAGTGCGTCGCCTCGGAAAATGCCTGTAAGTTGCTCGAAGCCTGCTCCGAATCTCGGAGAATTCGAGCTCCGTGGCTCAGCCAGCCAGCTGGCCTCGAAGGGAGCGGGTGGAAGGTCAAGCGGACTGGGAAAATGGGTGTTTAGCGTCGGAGGAGGCAAAGTTCGCAATCCATATTGCACGTGAACTATGGAGAGCCGTCCAATGCAACCGCTTGAAGTGAGTTCTCTCGTCCTGAATCACAGAGGAACCGGAAAGCAACCACGATGATCTCTGCTCACCTTCAAACAGGAAGGACAATTTTCCCCTTCCAGACATTCCACTTCGACTATATGCTCACCAAGGTGGACTCGTTCTCTTACTTTTCCCATTGTTGCTACATATTTTCGATAGAAATAAGTTTCTTTCGCTTTGAGTAGGTTGGCCCTATTTCATTCAAGGTGATGAAGGAATGATAGTTGAATTTTCTCACAAGGATATAAGTAGGCTTCACATTTTCATTGAATTTCACATATTCTTGCTTTCCAAATGGTATTCTGGCCAGGCTGAATTGCAGTTTTGATCTCTCCTAAGTCTTATCAACACCTCAACCACAGATACAAACGAAAATCAAGTAATGTAGACGATTATCATAGCAACTATAGCCGCTTAATTGAAAGTATGAAGACCAAGATGGTGTGACCTTTTGTATGGTCGCGGTCTCATTTCGTTGTACAGAAGTTGTTTGACCTTGTTTTCGCAAATTGTTCATATTAGTAGAAAGACCTAGAGGAACGCAACTTGTCTGAATTTCATAGTATTCATGATCATTTCCAAAATGATATGATTGAAGCTGACGCTTCCATTAAATTTCACATAACCATGCTCTCATCCAGGATGGACTGCAGTTTCGACCTCGCATTGGTCTTATCAACACCCACAGCGGGAGTCGAACCGTAGAAGTGCAGCATGTGAGCTTGACATGTTAACCATTCAGCCACATTGCCACGAGTATCGTTGTGTCACAGGGCAGATGTGAAATTCAAGGAATGTTAAGCATTTTTCATATTACATTATGTATTAAGATTGTAGATGAAGCAAACTTACATTTGCTATTACAGTCGACTACATTAATTATTTTTCGCATATAAGCAGAGTTTCGAGACTAGCAGTCTTCCTATTTCGTTTGAAGTGATTAAGGGCTGGTGGTAGAATTTTCCCACAACTGGTAGTCTCGAAGCTTTACTTGAATACGAAAAATCCCACTTTAAAAGTTGAGGCCTGACTTGCCTCGCATCTTCCCTGTGACCCACTGGCACCTGCGCATGTGGAGGTGTGTGGAATTTTAACGTCGTCAAGATACTAACGTTCCGGTTTCGAATCACTTTGGATATGCTGATGAGCCGGTAGGGAGAGGCTGAAACAATAATTCAGTCCAGCCGAGATCAAATGAACGAAGTGAAATTTACTAGTACCTGATTGTGAAAAAAATTCAACTGTAACTTTACGCGACCAAGTCTGACTAAGTTCTTTCCTTTTAAGAGTTTGTTTTGATCTCATTTTCGCAAATTAGTCATGATTTTGGGCCGAATTCAGAAAGCATTTCTCTGCCTTCTTCCAGCTTCGGATTAGGGACTGTATATAGGACCGGGCAAGGAATTCCAGTACTTAAACTGCATCAAACGTGAAGATTACGATTTCCAGACCGATTCTTAATGAGACTATCGAGCACGTCCAATTATACGTTATTATAACTAAATCCTTGAGTATGAGGAATAGTGTAGCCGAGATCGAGGGATTATAGATTGTGATATATTAGGTGTGAGTAAAGTACGAAGTTGTGATAATTTACTGCGCAAGAACTTTATCACCATAGGTCACCCATGGTGGGTCAAGGAATGGTATGTGTGATCCTCATGGAGAAGAATTCGTTGCCAATTTTTATACCAATTAAAGTGGCCCAGGTTGAATAGATTTTTATTTATGGTTAGCCATTACGATTGGGATGAGATTTTTAAGGACATTAGAGATCAGCAGATACAAGTAGGGCGAAATTGAATAATGGGTGTAGGCCCAATTTGGGATCGGGAATCTCTTTTAGTGGAATGCAGAATCGACAATAAAGCTGGTTACCTCTCGTTAAATTAGCAAAGGAATACCGACTATGAATAAGAACAGACGGGAGGGGAGATGCTATAAGTGTTGAACAGAAAATTTGACCATACTTGTTACTTTGATGAGTTGTAGCTCGGTGTTAAGGCTGGAGCTTCTTAAGGGGAATAGATCCCAACAACGACGCCGGCGAAACGTCTTGAACTGTACCAAGTTAAAGAGCTTATGAGAACACTGACGCAGAACACTGTTCCAGGTGCCTACTACCAAGTCTCTCATCAAGCAAGACCCAGTTTCGAAAACATGGTAAAACCAACTTAGTGTTTGGAAGAGTGACTGCCGCCATACCAAGGACCGCACTCTCTTGGTCTTCATACTTACATTAGATGTATTCGCCTAGTTCGCCAAAGATGATAAGTAATTGAATTTTCCCACTGATATGGGTACACATTACGTTTCCATTACATTTCCTTTAGCCTTGCTTTCCAAAAGGGTATTCAGATCCAGACGCGAATTGTGGCAGTTTCGTCTTCCCCTCGGTCTCATCAGCTCCTCCAACGAGACTTGAACCATGACAGTGCAGCGCATAATCTCGACACATTAACCACATTGCTGGAAGTACCCTGAGATGATCATAAGGCAGAAGTGGATTTTGAGGAAGGCCAGGCATTATCCAATATCACATTCTGTGCAGGGAGTTTCCATGAAGCAAAGTTATATTTACTTTAGAAGTCGACAAAATTTCTTATTTTTTATTTTTTTTCCAATTAAGTATTGTTTTCGTGATTATCAGTAAATCAGTAATATGGGATGTATTCGCCCAATTTCGTTTAAGGTGATAAAGGACTGGTAGAAGAAGAATTTTCCCACAATGATATGAGTTGAGCTG